AAATTTGATTAATTAATTATAAATGGGATAAAAAGAACAAATAAATATAATAATTAATTAATTATCAAATATTAATTTATATTTTTGGTTTTATGAAGAGATCTCACAGAAAAATTAATTTAACATTCACTATTTAAACTTAATATTTGTATTTAAAACATATTCTTAAAAATATATATAGTAGGAATTAGAGATGGATGGTCAGTTATTTATATAGTCCTATTTGAAAAAATTCTAGTAGTTAATGTTCTTAAATTTCAAAAAAATAATGTTTATAAGTAGATTTTTCTGTTTAAGTTCAGTAATTTTAGGAATATTTATAATATCTCTAATATAGCAAGATGCCATACAAAAATTTCATGGTTTGCATGCCACTTATAATGAAATAGATTTATTTATTTATTAAAAAATTTGATTTATATATATATTTTATAATAGAATTATAATTAATTAATAATTTAATTTATTATAATTTCAAAATAAATAATATTTTTACATCAAAATCTTTAAATTGAGCTAAATTTTGTGTAATGGGGTAGACAAAATACAGGAAGGGTTTGCGGGTATTTAATTTCTGTAGTGATTAAAAAGTTTTATTTTAAAATCATAATTTAATTGTTGAAGTTAATTTAACCCCCCTACCCCCTCCTACCACCTTTTAAATTTTGTATAAACGAAAAGATGAATATTAATTTTTTATAAATGATTTGTAAATAAGTTTTTTTAATTAAATTCAAATGTTATTATAATATAAAATTAATTAAATCTTTATTACTTTTAAATAAAAAAATAAAATATTTTTAAACTTTTTATTCCAAAAATTAAATTTATTTTTTTAAGATTTGAATTATTAATTTGATTTAATTAATTTACACATAGATAAATAGAATTAAACTATGATTTAATCATAAATAAAGTATAAAGCTTTGAATATATAAGCAAGTGAGTATTTTTATATTAATTTTTATATATATATATAAATTATTTGTCTTTTTAATTAGTTATGCATTTAAAAGATATTTGAAAGGATTGAAACATTATTTGAGAGGATGAATAGTAGTCTGTCTGTCTGTCTTGTCTATCTCTTAATTTTTTATAAGAAAATTTCAATCCAAGATAATTGTATTTTGACATTTCATTATTTCTTAAAGCTTATTTTCAAGTAAATTATATTTTGAAAATAAGATATTTATTAAATTGCTTTATTGATTTGAGATTTCTTGTTACTCTTTAAATTATTTTTATAGTTACTCAACTTATCTTTTTAAGAATTTGTTCTCAGATTCTTCTTAGTTTTCTTAGTATTCTTATTTTACATGGGTGTTTTAAGGTTGTTCCAATTCTTCTTCCATTTTATGTAAATTAGATCTGTTTTCTCTTAGGGTAGTATTGATTGGCTATATATTAGCTCTTTAAATATCATGCTTGTATTTATAGAAATGGACTAAGTAATACTATTAAAGTTCTTCTTTAAAGCATTAATAATTTTACTATATTGCAACTACTCTTACATAGATATCAGAATCTGGTTTTACGCCTATAAGAAATTTTATTTTTTCATAATTTACAACTTTTCCTCCTCCAATATGAGAATCGTTCCATAGTTTTAAATTTAATTTTTTAATGACACTTTCTAATCCGCCTTTTAATTAAGTTTTTGAATTTTAATTATTTTCTTTTTTGGAGTACAAAAACCCAGTATTTGGTTCAATTTATTTCAAAGGCTCAATAGTTTAGGAATTCAAAACGCTAAGCTAATTTTTGTAGTATAACTCGTATGACTTGTGAAATGCATCTAGATAAAAATTTTCTAAGTTCTTGATTTCAGGGAAGTCGTTTGGGTTAAATTCAATTTTGAATAAAAAGTTGCTCATAGATTTCTAAATTTGTTGTATTTTCTTTTTTTAATTAATATTTTTTTACAATTAATTTGATTATAGTTTTTCGTCTAGATATTAGTTTTTATAGAACCTAAGACCATATATCTATCTAATGTCAATTTTTATTAGTCTACATCAATGCTTTTTTGAGATAAAACACTTTTATACTAAGTTTTTCTATCCTTATTTTTATAATAATTTAAATTAGAAAGCAAAATATGATTAAATATTTACAAAGCAGCACTATACTATGAATTACATTTAAAAAAAAATAAAGCATTTTTAAAATAATCATAGTGATTTCATATTCCATTAACCAAATTATTAATAATAATCCAAAAAAAATAAAACAAATATTTACTGATATTTATTCAAAAATGCCAAAAATTGATAAGCAAATAACTCATAAATCATAAAGAAAACTTTTTGATTAACCCCAAGATAAATAAAAATAAATTTAGAGAAAAAAACATTTTAATTATCCATTATACATCTTTATCTAAATATGAAAATTTTAGTATATTCAATAAATTAGCGGCAATTTTTTTACTTAATCTTAATAATAAATCAAGCGATTGCTTTTTGCTTGCTTTTAATTAAATTTTGAAAAGAATTTGATTGCAAATACAACATATATAGATAGATATCAAAATTTTTCTATTTTTTTGAATTGAGAAAAAGTAATTCATAAGGTTCAAAGATACTAAAAATTCATAAAGATTGATTAACTAAATTTCAATCAAAATTTTATAAATTGGTTGGCTCTATTTTATTTTATTAATTGCTTTCTTGTCAAAAATATATTCTATTATTTTGCTTATTATTGTCATAAAAATAAGTTTTTGTTCTAAATTATGTAATATTGATTAATAATAAATTTTTCGCAAAAACCCAGCTAAATATATGTATTAATTTTTATCTAAAATCTTAGAATTGTAGTTTTACTCAAATAAAGATAGTCAGGATAAGAAATAAGATATTATAAAATGTTGAATTTGACTGATAATTACATTAAATTAGTGTTACTTTGTGTCAAAAAAGTTAAGATAGAAGGATTATAAAGTGTTGAATTTAATTAGTTTTAATCAGAGTTTTTCTGAAACACATAATTTAAAGGTAAATTAATTATTAAAAGAATGAAAAGTATCATCGTATAGTAAAAATCAAAGCTAATAAACTAGAGGAGTATATAGCAAAAAATGCTCTTAATTAAATTTAAAATATAAAATTTGTTTTCACCTTTATAAATATTTTTGTTTGTTTTTTACTTCAATTATAAATAAGAAAGTAGAAGATTAACTTTTTTAATTAAAAAGTATCAAGAAATATAAATAAATATCTATATATATATATATATATTCTAAGCATAAGCTAAAGGCAAATCAATTTCTTTCAAAAAAGATCATTCAAAATTTGAAATTGTGGTTATACTAAATTTATAAAAAATTTTATTCTACAAGTAATATCTAAAATAAAATAGGAAAATTCAAAGAAATTTTCATATATCATTTTATCTCTTTGTAAATTATTAAAAATTTTTTAAAGTTATCAGTCTAATTTATGGCCAAATAATCTGATTGATCTGAATACAGATAAGTCTAAAAATATTGAATTAACAAGTCTTTATGTCCATGAAGATTAAATAGAAAATAATGAATGCTTATAAAACACTTAAATCAATTATAAAATCAATAATATTAAAACTGATTACTTTTAACTACAAGCAAGGTAGCATTTATGTTATAGTATATTGATGCTAAACAAATAAATATATGCTACTAAGTTATGTAATCAAAATATTAAGCAATTAAACTAAAAAAAGATACCTTTTTTTAATTCAATCAATTCATAATTTTTGAATGAAATTTTATATACAGTAGCGCGATTTCAATTTTTGTTTAAGGTCAGATATTTAAAATATCTCAAAACTAAACTAATCTATTAAGTTCTCTTTTTAAGCTAAATAATTGGTAAAATAGTGTAAAAAAGAGTATCCTGAATAAGAAATATATTTCTGAATTATAAATATCCAAGTTAAGTATACAGTAAACAAATTTTTTATTTCTTTTCCTAAACTTAGTAATTTGATTCAGTAGGTCATACAATCGTATTTATTTATTGTAATCATTACATTTTTTACAAGTGTATTCTTTTTCTAATATACTTTCTATCTGAAGAAAAAGTAACTGAGTAAATAGGTTGAGATGACCTTCAATTATAAATTTTTAACTTGTAAACAAATAAAATAGTACATTAGACCATTTATTATATTAAGATTACTTTTTTAGACAATAGTATAAAGATATATTTTTAATAAGTAGCTCTTTATTTATAATTAGCTTTTAAAAAACAAAAGCTAATCAAATTAAACTAAAAAAAGAAATTTATTCAATTTTTGCTGAGGATTCTTTTAAAAAGATAAATTAAAAAAAAATTAAAATTTAATTTGATTAAAAATATTTTTATAATTGAATTGATAACAAAATTAAACAAATTTATCAGAAGTGAATTTTTACATTTTGAAATTGAATGAATAAAATATTTTTAAATAATAAAAAGTAAAAATAGGTGAAGCATTTTTATTTATTTATTTTTAACATAATGTCTCTCTCTTTTTAATACAAAAAATTACTTCAATTAATAAAAATTTTCTTAGTTATTTATTAAAAGGAGTGTTTTGCTAAAAAAATTAAATAAATAAAGGGAAAAAAAAATTATGAGGTAAAATTATGGAATCTAACTTAAAATAGTATAGGAAATATTTGATGCCTTAATTTTGTTCAATAAAATTTTTTATCCAAATTATTAATATTTGAAAAAGTATCTTGACATTTTAATAATTAATTAATTATTTAAACAAATTTATTAAAGTTTCTCCAAAATCAAGAATGGTATAAAAGAATGGCTACTTTAGCAATCTTGAGAAAGTATTGATTATATTATTAATTATAAATTATTAATTCTTATTATTTTATTAAAAGTTGGTTAGTTCTACTAATTCATTTCTAAAAGATATTTATATTAACTTTTGGTAAAAATTATAATTAAAAAGAAGATTTATTTTTATCTTTTTCTTATTTTCAAAATTAACATAAGAAAACAAAAAATATAATTTATTACTAATATTTTATTTGATCAATTAATTTTTATTTATTTGATTTTATCTTATTTGTTAGTAAGTTTGTTAAATTTATTAAAAGTAATAAAAATATTCATGACAAAAGTTCTTTAATCATAGGTTCTTTTTTAGAAAATTGTACAAATCTTTTAATTTTGAAAATTGATTTAAGGTAAAATTTAATTTTTATTTGAATATTCAATAGAAATGCACAAACTTTAATCTAAATAAACAAACAAACAAATAAACAAACAAAAAGATTTGTTTATTTTTTATTTCATTTTTTTCTTGATGTAATTCAATTTATTTTTGTTCTATTTTTTTTAACAACAAAATTTAATTTAAATTAAATATTTTTAAAGTTGTAATAAAATTGGTGTTTAGGGTGCTTTAGAAATAACTAAGTCTCTGATAAAATGTAAGAATCTAAAAAAATTAGACTTAAATCTTAGGTAAAATCCTTAATTAGTTTTTGATTGTGTTTATAGTAATTGTAGTAAAAATAAAAATTTAAATAAATTTAATAAAAAATCAAAGCTGCAACCAAATTAGTTCTTTGTAAGGCTTAGGTTCTTCTCTAGCTTAATGCTATAATCTTTCAAATTTAACTCTTGGTTTTAAGTAAATTTTGAACATTTTTCTTTTACTGAGATTGATTTAAATCAAAACGAATTAATAACAAAAAATAACATTTTTACAGAGTTTTTATATTAATTTCTTTCTTTTTAACTAAAGATCAAATAAAATTGACGATGAGGGTACTTAAATCTTAGGCTTTTCTTTGGCAAAGCACATTAATATTTTAAATTCTGAAATCTCCCTCTAGTATAAAATTTAAATTTGCTTATGATTGATTACCTTATAGATTTTAAAAGCATCCAAGATTTTAACTTTATTTATATTTTATTTCATTTTAAAATTTAAGATTATACTTATTTTTTTTATAGCTTATTTGATTTTTTTATAAATTCTTTTATTCATTATATATAAATTATTTTCTTATTTTTAAAGAGAAAGTAAATAAACTAATTAAGATAGTTCTTAAGAATAACTAGCTAGTACTAATATCTAAAAACTTAGTCTCGATCTCAGGTAAAATCATTATTTAAATTTGATTTTAAAAGAAGCTTTTAAACAAAATCTAATTTGATAATTCCATTTTGATTGACTAAATACTTTTTGCATAAATTTGATCACATTTAAATTAAATATTTTATAAGAGCGTGCACAGTGCGTAATTGATACGGAATATATTAAAATCATAATAATTACAGATTTTTTCTATAATTTTATTTTTGAATAAAAAGTATGAAATTTCGATAAATACTAATTACTTTCATACATATATCTAATCAGTGGAATTTTAAAACCAGGAACAGCTATATTCAAAAAAAAATTCGAGTTTCTTTATTATTTATCATTTTTATAATGTTTCTATTCAAAAAATATCGTGAATAAAAAAGTTACTAAAATTCATTTTGTATTAAAAAACTTTTAAATCTAAAGTAAATTCCTTTAAAAGTTTATTTTATTATGAGTTTCATATTAAAAGAGTATATTTTCATTTAAAAAAATCATGAATTAATGAGTTGCGCACTGTTTACATTTGGTTAATTTGAGGAATTTGAGCATAAGAGAATTCATTTAATTTAAATAAAAAAACTAGCAAATTTTCTTTTAATTTAGTTTGTTTCTATTTGCTTTGCTCATTTTATTAATTTTATTTTAATTTATAAATGACCATTTCTATTATAAAATTTAACTAATTTTTTAATTATTTTAAGTACATTTTATCTTAAATATTTTAAAAGTAACAATAAAATTGGTGCTAAGGGTGTTTAAGGCTTATGTGATTATTTTACAAACTGCAAAAATCTTTCAAGTTTCACACTCAAATTATAGTAAAATCTTTAAAATAAATAAATTTTAGATAAATCATAATAAATTAATTCATTTTAATTTATTTTCTATTTTTATTTCATAATTTTTAATTCAATTTATTTTAAATAATGAAAGAATTAACATATTTTTAAATTTTATTCATTTAAAAACAATATCAAACTGTTTAAAAGCGCTAATAAAATTAATCCAGAAGGTGCATCAATCTTAGGATCTTCTTTTGCTAAATGTAGCAATCTCGAAATTTTAGAGTTGGATTTAGGGTAAAAACTTATTATTTATTGTTGATGTTTGCCATTTTAAATTGATTTAAAAAAATTTTAATTTATAAAATGTATTATTTTAAATTTTTAATTTGTAAATAGTGGTAATAAAATAGGTGATGAGGGCGCTTAATCCATTTGTTTTAATTTAGTAAAGTGCAATAATCTCTCAAATTTGATACTTAATTTTTTGTAAAATTAGTTTATTTTTATTTTTTAAATAATTGAATCAAAATTGATAATTAAAAAAATTAATAACTTTATTTATTTTTTACTTAAAATTTATCTTTTTTAACTGATTTTTATTTTATTAATTTATTTTTTGAATCTTTCTTTCATTCATTCATTATTTTTCAGAAAATTTTCTAATTATTAAAATTAAAAATGATAAAATTTTATTCTAAATAATTAAAAAGCTCTAATAATATAAATGCTGTTGGTGCAAAAGGTTTAGGTTCTTCATTATCAAACTGTATTAATCTCAATAGTTTGAATATTAGAATTGAGTAAAAGTTTTTATTTATTTTTAATTGAGTTAATTAATTTACTTTTAATCATATTTCACAATTTCGTTATTTTAATTAAATTTTATCTAATTATTTATTTGTTTTTTTAATAAAAAACCTTTATTCAAACTCAGTTAGTTTCATTTCTTTTTTTAGTTATTTAGTTTAACGTAAATATTTAAAAATAATTTTTTTATTTTAAATTTAACAAAAGTCGTAATTTATTTGGGTCTTAGGGTGCATTAAATTTATTTTCTGATTTATCAAACTGCTCTAATCTATCAAATTTTTATCTTGAACTCAAGTATAAATTAATTTGTTGATTTTTATTTTCTATTATTTATATTAAATATTTGTTTGTGTAAAATTTTACATAAAACTTTTCTAACAGTTATAAATTTTTTTTGAAAAATATAAAAGCTAGAATTAAATTGGAGATGAAGGTATAGCTAATTTAGGTTCTTGTTTAGCAAAATGCTCTAATATCTAAAATTTAGTACTCAAGATCTTGTAAACATCGTTTATTTAATTATGTTTAAAAAGTTTTTTAATGATTTTAATGAAATAGATCAAGAAGTTTTTAAATTTAATTTATTGAATTTAATTAGTTTTCTTTCTAATTTTTTATTTTTTTAAGATTTAAAATATAAATTTATGCTTACTCAATTTTAATAAATTTTTTATTTTGTAATTGCAAAATATTTTATTGAATGAATTTTTAAAAATTTTGAAGTTATAATCAAATTGGTTCTTAAGGTATGTCAAGTTTAGGTTCTTCTTTATCTAAAATTACTAATCTCTCAAATTTGAGACTCGATATCAGGTAAATTTTGTTGCTTTTAAAATAGAATTCTCAGAATATAAAAAATCAATCTTAAAAAATCAGTTAATGAGCTTCACTAAATTTAATTCAATTTTTACTTATTTACATAAATAATAATTTTTTCCTTTATTTAATTAATTTTTCTTCACTTAACTTCAAAAATTTAATTAACTTCAATTCAAATTCTTCTTTTTTCTTTAATTCAAAACTTTATATTTTTAATACTTTCAAAGTGGCAACTAAATTGGTGAAGATGGTGCGTAAGGCTTCTCTTAATCATTTTAAAATTTCATGAATCTCTCTAATTTAAACCTTACCTTCAAGTAAAACTTCTTTTTTTTTCACTTTTATTAAGAAATTTAAATTTAAAAATAAATTGAAAAATAAAATAAACAAGAATTTAAAAATAATTTTATTGTTTAATTTTATTTAGTGTTTTTTTAATTTTAACAAAATAATTAATTTTCCTTTTAGATATAAATAAAAATCATACATATTTAAACTCTCAGCCAACTCTTGTTTTGTTGATTTTCTTTTTTTCTGTTCAAAAATGATAAATATTTTTATTTTAAATAAATTAAAAGTGATAACTCTATCAATGACAAAGGTGCATAAAGCTTATTTTCCTCTTTAAAAAACTGCACTTATCTCTAAAAACTAACTCTCACTCTTTGGTATATAGAATTATGATATTTATTTTTCTTTATTTTTTGAAAAATAATTTAAAAATATTAATAACAAACTTAATTAATTTTTTATTTTATTAGAAAATGTTTATATTTATTTATTTATAAAAAGTTTTTTCTAATATTATTTTTGCAAGTTAAAATTAATTTTGATTTAATTAATCTATCTATTTCAATAAATATTTTTTTATTTCCAATATACTTAAAGTAGAAATAGTTTTGGTGATTAAGGAATTTAAGTCTTAGGTTTTTCTTTAATGAATTGCAAGAATCTTCTTTACTTAAATCTTAATTTTTGGTAAAAAAATAGAATTTATTTAAATTTAGTTAGATTTTTCATAGATATTTTTAGGCTTTTTCATAGAAGAAAGAATTAAATATTTTTATATTTTAAATAATTAAAAAAGCGACAATTTAATTAGTGGATAAGGTGTATTATCCTTAGGTTCTTCATTAAGGAAATGTATTTTTATCTAAAAATTATATATTGACTTTAGGTAAAAAAATTAAATTAATTTGTTTTATTTTTGTCATTAATTAAAATAAATAATTTGAATTTACTAAAATAATTAAATTAATTTCTTTCAGTAGTTTATTTTAATTTAGATTTTTTTGTATTGAGTTTTTTAGATTTTAATCTAATTAAATACTAATTATTTATTTTAAATTAAAAGATCAAATAGAATTAAAAAGGCTTTAAAAAAGGCTTTTTAAAATTAATGCCTTAAGTTAATGAGACTAATAATTAAATCTATAAATTTGTGATAGAGATCACTATTATTTTATTTTTTTGACGACATATGAAATCTTCACTAAAAGAAAATTACCTTGCAATATATAAATATTATGAGCATTTATTTTTAAATTTATGTTCTAATTTAGTATTTTATATGTCAATTTTTTAGTAGTTGACCCTAAAATCTATAATGGGGTATGAAAATTTGAAATATATGGTATTTGTGCTTGGAATAAGAAGTATTAATTTAAGCTTTGCTTTTTCCAGTACATTAGGCATTTCTATTTAATTAATATTAACAGACTAATATTTGGAGATAAACATTTTAATAAATGAATTAAAACTTTTTATATTGTTTCTTTCATATTTGGTATAAAATGACAATAATTTAGCTTTTATTTTTCGTTTTTCTTAAAATCTCACTATACTTGTTAATTTTGGCCTTAATAAATAATCACTTAACTGTATATAAGAATTGATAGAGTAAATTTATTTATTTAAATTATTTTTGGCCAAATAAATCAGAGTAGATTTTAGAAGAGCTCATAAGTAATTAGAAAATACAATAAAATGCCTACTCTAAGTTATTTGTCTCTAATTTTAAGTATTAATCCAGTGTCATCATATGCAAGGCTAATTTAATCGTGCTTCTTAGATATTTAGTCAGAATCAATATATTCACACATCTTTTCGATGCGAGTTTTCAATTTTTTGTCAATGTCTTATGTATTTATGCTAAAATATCCTTCCTTTGTAATGTATCAAATTTAGAATCTATCATTTATAAAAAATTTATTACATCAAACTCAAAGTTTTTTAAATTAATTATTAATTGGTTGAAAATTTGTTTTTTAAAACACTAAATTTTTTGTAGAAACTTTAAAACATTATTTTTTATTGATTGATATCTATCTACTCTGAGAATAAGTTAGTTATCATGGTCAATTTTCTACCTGTATGTGGTTTTTTTTATATCACATTTATTAACGCATCTATGGATTAGTGTCATATTAATATCAGCTTCTGAAGCTACTTTCTCTATGTCATAAGCTTTTGCTAAGTAAACAAAGCATATTAAAAAGTGAATAGATTTTATCTAAAATATTTACTTTATAAGATATAAAATATCATTTAAAAAAATGTTTAATTAATTTATTAAGTTAAGCACAATTATGAATAATTTATTTAAGGCTTAATGATATTCATTAAATCAATATTTATTAAAATAAATAAAAATGGCTCAGAATATTAACATATTTATATAAAATTTTTAAATCGTTACCAAAATAAGAAATACACAAATTTAAGCTTAAAAAATATCATTGTTCTATTTGAATAACTAACTAGAAAGTTGAAGGATAAATATTTTATAGTAAATTAAAAATGTGATATTTTTATCATTTAAAAATATCTTTTTAAATCATTTTCAATAAAAGAAATTTTGAAATGGATACAAAAGGCTGAATAAATCATGAATTTGTAGCTAAAAGTTTAGTTTAAACACAATTTCAAAATGAGATCAAAAGAGAAAACTTTTTATAGATGATTTTGTATTTAAGAAATCAATAAATGTTTTTATCATTAAAAAAGATACTCAAAATAATATATACAATTAATTTGTTTTTTAAAGGAATTTTTTAATTAAATCTCTTCAATTCAGTGAAGAAAATATTTAACTAAAAAAAGACTTCTATTAATGTGAGTATTTGAATAATAATTGATTAAGAATAATTTTAAAAGGAATAATATTAATAAAATCTTTTTAAATTTATTTAAACTATTAAATCATAAAAATTCATATATCTCTAAAATCATTCAATATCATTAACATATGTTATAATTTTATTTTAAAGAAATACAATTATTTGCTGAATAATAATCAGATAATTTAATTGAGATGATTAGCTAAAAAATACGACTTACAAGCATACATTAATTTTGGTATAAAAGGAAAATACTTACATATTAATTAAAGGTAGAAATACCAAAATTTTTGATATTTTGTTACCACAAAGCTTTAGAAAAAGATATTCGCTATCTTTTTTAAAATTTATTGTTTTAAAAATTTCTAAACTATATTATTTAACAAAATAATTCATGTTTATTCGCTAACTTTTTACAAAATTGTCATAATAATATTTTAATGCTACTGCTATAAAAATAGCAAAAGAAATTTATGCTATAAAAAAATAGTACAAATAAATTATTTAAAATTTCTTTAAATAAATTGTTTTATTAAATAGAGCAATAATTTTGTATTTGTAAAATATTGCTTATATAAAAAGAGTACTTTGCTCACTACTTTGTTATTAAAATAATTACCTAGCTAATAGAAATTAATTTAGTATTTGATAAATGAGTCAATTTTTTTGATTTCAATTAGGTAAAAAAGCAAATTATCATGAAGAAAAAGGGGAAAGGAAAATGGATATTCATTCTAAATTTAGAAAATTAATATATGTTTGATTGCTTATTATAATTACCACAAATTTAATTCTAAATTTTGTTTTAATTATTTGTATACAATTGAATATACATTATATCATTATTTAATCAATAGTATAATTCTTTTACTTAATATTAAATTTTGCTCTTTTAATTTTTAATTTTCAAATTTGTAGACAATTTAATTTCAAAATATACTTAACTTCTAATTATTATTTATTAAAAGTAGATTATTAGAGCAATCAAAAAGGAATTAATTATTTAGATATATGATAAGTGGATAAATGATATCTATAAAGTTATTCTTTGAAAATAGTTATGTATATTATACATTTATTTTCTAACATTTTTTTTATTAAGAATGATAAAATTAATATTCTTTTGAATCAAAATGAAAAATAAATCTTAAATAAGAACTCCTATCTATTTTTCAATTTCATCATTGAAAACTTAAGAAAAATAAGATTAATAATTTTTTTCCTTTTTGATTGAAATAATAATAGTAATTTGAAAATAAAATCTAGCTAGATTTGCTTATTAATCCCACATGAAAATTAATCAATAAAAACCAATTTGTTTTTTCTTATTAAATTTATTTATTAATTAATCAAATCTAATTATAATCTGTAAGTTTTGCAAAAAAGTATTTACTAACTCAGTCAATATTTTTTGATTTTAGTTGGGTAAATAAGCAAATTATTATGAAAAAAAAGGGGAAAGGAAAAACGATTAATTCTAAATTTTTAAAATTTTTATAATTTTGATTGCTTATTATAATTACCACAAATTTAATTCTAAATTTTGATTAAATTATTTATATGTAATTGAATATATATTACATCACATATTATAATTGTTTCATCAATAGTATAATCTTTTTTGGTCTCTTAATTTTTTAGTATTCAAATATGTTGATTAGAAAGTCTTTATTTATATATTAAATATGTCCAAAAAAATATATTTTAAGAATTAAATTGATTTAGCTCTCAGTTTTTATATGCTATATAATTAAAATATCATTTTCATTTTAATATTTAAAAGAAAAAAGTGAAAATAAATTGAAAATATTTTTTACGAAACTAAAACATCTGTTAATTAATAGGTAAATTGGTATTCAAATTAATAGATTTTTATAAACAATTCTTATAGTCTTTAAAGAAAAGTTTACTATTATCTTTTTTTAGAAATAATTTATAATTTGAAAAAAATATCTTATTTCATATTGCAAAATTTATCAAAATAATAAGAAATGCAAGGAACATACTAAGCACCTCCTCCTCCATATACTACTCAGCCATACACTCAGTAATATACTTAGTAATATCCCTAGTAATATCCCTAGGCAATGCAGTAAACAGTAATTCATCAAGTTGTTTACAACCCTTAGTAACCTCCTCCTCCTAATATGCAATACGTTTATGCTTAGCCCTCTCTTGTTTCAGTCCCTTCTAACTAACCTATGTTGATGAATCAAATTTCCTTACCTACTGACCCAAACAACATATAATTAATCCATATGTAAAGTAATTTGATAGACTTAAATGAACAGAAGAGAAAACAATAAGAAGAAAAGGAAGAAAAAGAAGATATAGAACTTCTAATTAAATGTTAACTTCTTCATTCAAGTTTTTAAACTTCTAAAACCTACTTATTTTTCATGGGTTTGAAGGTTTTTATGCAATTTATGTTTCTCTTATACATAATAGTAAGTCTGATATTTTACCTTTTAAGACCTAAATATGAGCTTCAAAAAATAGGCAACAAAAATTACTTTAGAGCAACCTCTTCTCCAGTTTCTAAGTCTAATTTTGAATGCACGCCAGCTCAGGATCCTGATGTTTTAAAAGTTATTAACTACGCAGATACCTGGGTCGTTATTTGTGCAGCATTAATAATAGCATATAAAATATTTTACATCTACATGTCTACTAAATACTTTAAGTCAATTTTTAAGTAAAAGTATATTATTAATACACAAAAATTTGATGTGTCTTATGTGGATTACATTAATCTATTTTTTGATTATACTTTTGTCATTTCTCTTTCTCCTCTGACGGCTGTTGTATATGAAGATTGTGCAAATTTGAGATATGGGATCTATATATTCGGTGCTGCTCCAATTTATGCAGCAGGAGTTGTCTTTTCTCTCTTTAACTTTATATGCCTAACTATTATGATCGAAGCATGCAAAGCTAAATCCTTTGATAAGTTAATGGCATATCCATTTCTTATACTCGTAACTCTCCCTGCTATTGTAATAATAATATTTCTAGCTTGCGGTGTGGAAATCTTAAAATAAAAGGTCACTTATTACAAAGAAACAACAACCTACAGTGATGGATCCTAAACAGTAGAACATAAAGATGATGATGCAAGATGGATAATCATATTCCCTATTCTATGCATAGTAGCTGTTTTAGTATTCTTCTGTGTAATGATTATTATTTCTTTTGCTCTATTACTCGTCTACTGCCACCCAGCTATGATAATTTACTATGTCCTTACTATCTTATTGTCAATCGGTTTCTTAATAGTAAACAGGAGGGGTACTGACTACAGATTACAGCTTTTTTGCTTGCTTATAATTGATTACTTTAGATAGACTAAACCTAAATTACTCCAAATGGCCTACAATTATGAATTTAATGAGTAAAACGTTAAAAATCATGGCATTTTCTAGTAGTTACAATAGTAATCAAGAATATTTTTTAATTCACCTAGTTTAGTCTTCTATAAATACAATATAAGATAAACGTGCAAGCTTTACAACTAATACAAAGAAATCTATGCAGATCTATTAGAGGAATTCAGCAAAGACCCTATTGATAAAAAAGAGGAACCTAAATTAGAACATGCAAAAGGTGAATAAGATTAAATTAAAGGAACTATAAATGGAAATGAAGGAGTTTAAACAAATCATCTTGATCTCGAAAAGGGTCAAACTGGAAACATCTAGCTTGAAACTAACCAACCTTTTAATAATGAAAATTAAATATAAGAAAATGGTCAAACTGTAAATGTATAAGTAGAAGATCTCCAACCTGTTGTTGGCGCAAATTAAATTGAAGATGCTGAAAATAACGAAAAGCAATCAGAAAATCTAAATTTAAGCCAATTATCTGTAAATAAAAATAAGCATGAGCATGAACCCAACAACCGTAGAGCTAGAAGTGCATTTGATGATTGAGTATAAAATAAATAAAAATTCATTTATTTATTAATAATCTTTATTGAAAATTTTTACTTATTAATTTCATTTTATATATGCTTATTTGTTTTTTTGTTTGTTTGCTTTTTTATTGATCTTTAAATTAGTTTTATTTATTTCTTTATAATTCAAATAACAATGAAAATCAAATCATTAATTTGTTCATTTCTTTTGAATATTTATTATAACAACTATAATACATAAATTGATATTTAATTCTTAGTTTAATAAAATAAAAATATTTACTCTACTGTGTTTGATCCTGCAGATATAGGATAAATACATTGCAAAATTGCTTTTCTTATTACTTTAATAGAATACTTTTTAAAAATCCATAAATTTATTAGAAAGATAGAAATTTATTCATAATTAATTTAATAGCGAGTATTAGGAATAGACCGATGTCAAAATTTATTCTTAGTTTTAAACCATAATTTTCAATTTATAATTTAAAAAAAATGTTTGGACTAAAATCAAATATAAAAAAAATAATTAAGATTTAGAAAAAAAATTCATTACTAATACCATAAAACCTCGTTAAGGAAAACGAATGGGTTGCGAGGTAAGGGGTAAGAGTCTTAAAACAATTTTTTATTTTTTTGTTTGTTTGTTTGTTTGTTTGTTTGTTCAGGTTCGAAACATATTTCCATAGATACCTTTTTATTATTTTAAATATTCTTTAAATTTTAAAAATAATAATAATAATTCTACTTAACATTTATTTCCTACTCGAAAAAATTATCAGAGAATAGCAATAATTTTGTCAGCAATTTTAGAAATAGAAATTTAATTAATTCTATCTAATGATTATCTAAAATTTCTAATATTTGAATTTAAAATTTTAAAATAATAAATTATTATTAAAAAGATTATCAATAAATAAATAAAAAAATTTTACATAAATTACATGTTTATTTGAAACAAAAATATAGAAATAGATTTATTAAATAAGTTATCTTAATAAATACAATATTCATGAAAATTTGATAAAAAATCAAGATACTTTTATGTTTATCTTTATTGGAGATTAAACATAAATAAAAAGATGTTTTTAAGAATTAGAATGAATAATTTAATGAAACGAAATAAATAATTTATATATCTTTAATAAAAGTATGATAATAAATATATAATATATATATATACTAGAAATTATTTATATATAGTTAATTAAATCTAATTATTAAAATAAATTGTATTGATAATTATTTGTAACTCTAATTCATTCATTCATTATTCTTTTATTTATTCATTCATTCATTCATTAATAAACTCTTTTGTCAAACATTAGACTTTTTTTTATCACAAATTGTCATGCATTAAATATTTTTATTATGTTCTTGTTATTCTTGTTTGAATATTTTTTCATAAAGTTCTGTTTTGTTGTTGTCTATTTCATAGATTATGCTTTGAATGGTATTTTTTTCGAAAATTCTGTTTAATTCATCTTTTTACTAATCACAATCCATATGATCTAATCTCTCAATTTATTCGTAGGTCATTTTGTCTAATTATTTTTCAACTTTTTTACTAAAATCATTTAATTTGTTAAAGAAAATTTAGAATTCCTTTAAAATTTCATCAATTAAGTAAGTGTTTTAAGTCATTATCTTGCTTGTGAGTGGATCTACTACTTATAGCTTAGATTAAGATGGATTTCTAACGCAAGGGAAGAATGGACTTTTTCGAAAATTTAAATTAATATTAATATTTTATAAGAAATAAAAAATTTTTTACTTTCCATTCACAAGAGAAATGCCTGTAGTTTCAGGATTAAAAGTAGTTCCATAGTATTTAAGGAAATTAGTTAAAATTTTAGAATAGTCATCGCTTTAAGAAATATTCTAATTATCTCTGAAGAATGCAATAATCATAATCAAGAGACAGTACGAGCTAATACCACCTTTTATGTATTTTAATAAAAAAATATTAATTTTTGTTTTTAGATAATTTAACTAAATTAATTTTTATTTTAAATGAATCAAAATCATATTTTTTTATTTTATTTATTACCTTTAAAGTTTGTATTTAAGTTTCTTGCGTGAAGGAAACATTTCATTACTATAGTCATTGGTTGTAGGCGAACATAATAACTCATCCATCTAACTACAAAATCTGTGGAAAGGAAGCCCATGTGATTGAGGATTTCAGTGTTAGGACTTTGCATTTAGCATTCAACAGTAATATCTACCTTTAAGTTAATGCCCTTTAAACTTTAGTTTTCTTCAGTGACCAAAAGATTTAAATTTTAAATTTCTATTGGATCGAAAAACAATAATAATTCATCTTAGTTTATGCACTCTTTGAAGTCAACAAAAGGATCTACTTCCTATCATACAAATTAAATCAATTTAATGTGTGCCAAATTAAATAAAGGAATTTACCATCTTAATAATTGGAATGCTGGCTGTGAAGATTCTTTCGATAGATTTTACCCATTTAAATTATTCAAGTATATTAGCTAATTAGTTAAGAATGTATATCAAATCACTTCTAGGGTGGCATTCAAAACCAGTAATTCCAAGATCTATGTCACTAGTAGGAAGAGATAAACCAGTTGCACAAGAACCAAATATTCTTAAATCAACTTAGCTTTCAACTATTTTATTTTAAAATTTAATTTTTTAATTCATAAAATTAGTTTCTTTCAAAAAGTATAAAATGAAATTTATTTGAAAGTCCACTTTGCTTATTAATAATTTTAAAGTTTTAGTGTATTTTGATTCAATGAATAATTACATTTTCACTTAAAAAATAAATATTTAAAAGTGATGCAAATCAAATAAATTTATTTTTGACTAAAATTGATTTATTTAATTGAATAAAATAATTAAAAATATAAGTTAAAAACAATAAATTAATGAAAAATTTACCTTTTTCAAACTACTTCTTTAGCAAATGCTATATTCTGTAGAAAATTAAAAATCTACTTGGCTAATGTCTATAAGACTCTAAATTTATCATTTCAGTAAAGCTTAGAATATCGTTGTTAATTTTTCTTCTGAAAAGTCTCTTGGCGATTTTAGCTTTGGCTTTATTATTAAGAGTTTGATGGACAACAGGAGGATTGTTAGGGTCGTTGGAGTCTTTCCACTGATTTTAAAATGCTCCGTTTTTATTTTTTCTTTATTAGGGATTAGCTACGACATAACTCTCTTGTGTATTGCTTTATCCGTTATTATTTTAGCTACTTTTTTTTCTATTGCTCATTTATTTCTTTTTTAAAGTAGGTTAAGAAGCTTGGTTTTATAAGGTGCTGCTATTTTGTCCTTAAGCTTAGGCTTGATTTTAACTAATTGTAGGTGAAGTTTGTGTTTATGTTGGAGACATTTAATTAGTGGAATCTGGTTAATTACTTTCTTTAGGTTGTTACTATGTTTGACTATTTTATTATTTTTATTATTGTTGTTGTTATTATTGTTAAATTAACTAGCTCTTTTAAACATATTCTTCCCTCACTTAGAATTTATCAGAATTCAAAGTTAGAGGAGATTTTTATTGAAGCTTTTACTTTTTAATAGGAGTTAATTTGGGATGTTTGCTTGATTATTACTAACAAAAGTTAGAATTTTGAATTGAGTTTTCTTGAGAGTTTGCATTATTATAAGAATTGTTTGCATTAGTTATGGCAGAATTAGAGACTAGAGTAGAAGTAATTTTAGTATTTATATTAGATTATTATATAGATTATTAATTTTCTTATTATTGGCTGTCAAATTCAGTTTATTTAATTGATTAAGAGATATCCTTGCTTGTTTGAGATTGCAAGTTTAAGCTTGGTGATATTTATGATGAATTTTGCTGCTATTAAAGCTGAATATATTTGAGTTCTGGACTTTCTTCTTCTTTTGATGTGAGAATATCTATTGTATTTATTGCAATTTACTTTTATAATATTTTTAATGGTTTTTTATGTTGTTATATATGTTTGGAGTGCTAATTAGTTTATTTATTAGTGTTATTTGTTGTAAGGTCAGAAGAAACAATAGCTTCCTCTTTTTATTAGTTATTTGACTTCTAAGTAAATCTACTTTGGGTGCTAGTCGAGTTACTTAATTCTTCTTCATTTATTTATTGCTGGCTTTATTCAGAAACTATGCTGTTTTCTTTTGTTAACTAGACTTATTAATCGTCATTGCTTCTGTTGTTTCTAAGCTAATGATTATTTTATCTACCATCCCCTTGAATTTGCTTATCATTTCTATTATTTCTTCTATTTTGGTTTTTATTATTGCTATTTGTATTATTATTATTATTGCTAGTATTGTTGTTATTATTTTTTCTTCCATTTTATCTGTTAGAATTAGATACACTATTGTAATTATTATTAATATTGCTGTTGTTTGAATTTGATACACTAGAGTTATTCTAATTTTTTCTATTGTTGTTATTATTACTGCTATTATTAATTTATCCTTATTGCTGATTTTTATTATTTTTCTTTCTGCTACTTACTTGAATGAAGTCAGAATCATCTTGAGCGGTTGTAGTATATTAACTATTGTTGTTATGATTCATTGAGTTCTAATGATTAAGAGACATTTAACTAGAAACTTAAATTTAAGAGCTACTCCTACTGCTTACTATGCTTTCTCTTTCCATGCTACTATTGCATATAACATTGTTATTTTGGTTAATAGTGAGAGAATAAGCATCTTTTTCCAGTACAGAATCTTGTTAGTTTTACTGTTACTTTCTGTCTTACAATTTATGATTGCCTTGCCTAAGATTTTTATTTTATTAATTACTTTATTACATATTTTGATTCTTTTTATCATTTTAGTTCTGTTTGCTTTATTATTTGGCATTGCTGTTGTTTTATGAGTTGGTTTTCTTATTGTTAACTTAGTTAATTTAATCGTTAAAGTGCTTGAAGTCATCTTCGTCTGAGAAATGATTTATATTTTTAGTTGTGTGTCGAGATGAAGAATTGCTTTGATGAGAATCACTTTGTTTTCTCTTGGAGCTTGAGGAAATAGTTATTGCACTGCACATTCTATATTGGCAGTCAATAGTTGTGTTATCAGAATGGATTTCACTTCCCTTTTTGGCTCCATCTTAATCTGAGTCAGAGTAATTCTGGTGAGGAAGTTCTTCTGTATCTTCTCCATCAGCATTATTCTTTAACTATTTATCTTCATTTTCTTAGTAAATCTTGCCTTCATCTTTTTCTGCCAAAATATCTTATTTGCTCTTAGATGATTTTTGTTTTAAGTTCTAGCTTGAAGTTATGCTAGTAGTATTATTGTTCTATTAAGATATATTTTAGTTCTTAGATTTCTTTTTCTTTTTAGAACCTGCAGTTGAGCCTGCATTACCATTTATGCTTGCATTTACAATTAAATTGGTGTTGTTAGTATTTCCTGATGACTAATTATCTGTTTCATATTCCTTATTTAAGAGCAGAAGTTCTTAATTTGAATCCATATTTTCGCTTCTTTATGAAAATGTATCAACAATTTAAATGCAGCTAGAAATAAGTCTCTAAGCTATCTATTTAGTCATGTCTATCATTTCGCATTTATTTTATTAGCAGCAAACTTCTAAGTACTCATTTTTCTTTTATTATTGTTGCATCTTCAAGACTAAAGGCATGCTTGAAACAGCTACTTTTTTTTTGCTAATTTGCTATTATCCTAATTTAGTACTACCTTGCTAGCTATCGCATTTTTTGGAATTCTCCAATGAAGAAGATTTTTCTTCATTTTCATTTTAATTATCTTGCTTTTAGCTTTCAGCTTAATTTTTGCTATCAATTTTTTCAGTTTATTTTACCTATTTCTACTATTATTCATTTTAAGTTTATTACAATTATTACTACTACTATTATTATTAAATTAATTTATCTTGTTAATCTTGAAGGATTTCTTGCTAATGCATCAAACTTACTTCTTCTGCAAAAGTGGTTTCTTTAATAGGAGGCTAACTGCTAGAATTAGTCCCATTATTTCCACCAGAATTACCTTTAGATTTAGCTTTAACGCTTTTTTTCTTTTTCTTTGCGCCATTTTAACTGCCTTAATTTTAAGTATTATTTTTTTTCTTTTTCACACTTTTTTCTAACTCATCATTATGGATCAAATACTAAGCAATTTGATCAGAGTACATATCGTTCAGTTTTTCATGCAATTTCTTTAAAATTATAGTAATTACATTAGTAGTGTCGTCTAAGCTAGTGAAACACAACTAATCAATGAACTTTTCAGCCTTTTGGTCATCAAGAAATTACAACAAGTTTTATTGAATTTCTTCATCATTTGGGAGTTTTTGTTTTTGATAAAATTAGTCCTTTGTTTTTTTGTACCACTCTAATTGCTTATCGTTTTTATCTAATCCTTCAATTTGGCTTTAACTAATGAGCGTTTTATGTATTTCTGATCCCTTATTTAAAATCTATTGATAAAAAAAAGCAATAAATACTTCGCAAAATACTTTCGTCAAACAAAATATCTATAAATATTTCTTTAAATTGATTTCTTTAAGGCCTTTTGCAATCAATATATATTTAAACATGCTATTCATATTTAAATTAAACTGATTAAAATTTGCCACAAATAAAATTTAATTTTCCCTTTAATTACCTTTCTTTTTTTTGATGAATTCATACTGCGCCAATATTAAAGAAGGCTTAAATAATGGCTCAAATTTTCTTGGCTTGAATGACTATCTCTTTAATTACAAAAATAATTATGTTAAATTAACCTAAAAATTTTCAATTTCTTTGTATAAATATTTACAAAGAGAAAGAGTTGTATCCCTAATTTGTCATGTTAGTATGATTACTATTATTATTGTTATTATTGCTGCTATTATTTGTGTTTTAAGAGTATGAGTTTGAGTCTTGTTTAGATAAAGAACAATTTCCGTTAGTTACTGCATCTGAACCAGAAGATTCAGCAGTAGAAGAATTTCTACCATTTAATTTTACTGCATTAATATCATTAAATTTATCATCTGATCTGTTGCTTTCTTTGCTTTAGTTATTGCTTTGATTGTTTGCGTTGTTAGAATAAGAAGAGCTGATCAAACCCTAAGGCTATCTTCCTAATTTCTAATGATATCTCTGTTTATCTTCATAGAATCTATTTTATTAGAAAAATATTTTTTCAAGATGGTCGATTTTACTCTATATAATCTATCTGCGTATTAGTTGGTTTGCTTGATTGGTTTAAAATTTGCTGCTGCATTAATCAATAAACAAGAAATTTCTTTAGATATTTCTAGAAATTTTAATTAGAAAAGACAAAGACTTGTTTTTTTTGTTAGTCTATTTTCTATTTGAATATTAACTCTCCCACAATAAAAATTGAAAGAAGTTTTAACTATTCAGATAGACTGGCTGACATAAAGCTCTAGCAAATACGGTGATGAAGCAGAATAAAATTTGATAAATTAAAATTACTTGAATTGAACCATCCTCTCAAATTAACTGACAATCCAGCAAGCAATAGTCTAAAATGTATTTTGATGAAACCAGCTGTATTGGTTGGGGTTAGTCTAAAAAATATTATTGTCTGAAACTATATCGAATACATCTATCAAATGGTCAATATTATCCAAAAATCCCTTATCAAAAACGAGAGAGTCGTATATTTCTTTATCGTCAATAATTCTTAGCACCTTGACAATTTCCTAGTTTTATAAATTTAAACGATAAATTTTCTCCGATCTAATAAGAGTAAACTAACAATCAAATAAAGAATAAATATATTCAAATCAATCATGATGCATTTAAGTCCCAAAAATTATTATTAAAAACATGAATGAATAATGTTTGTATATTAATTATTTAGAAGATGAGTTGCTTGTTCACTGTAAGAAAACAAGAGTCATCTTTTTTAATTAAAGGTATCGAAGATTATTAACAATTAAAGTAAAATTTCTTTGCAAATCTCATAAATCGCCTCATCAATATTTAAACCAATATTTCTTTCTTACTTAATGTTTGCTTTCTCACTAAATGATATCACTAATTTTTTCTATCAAAACTTATCCCTCATTTTATATCAAAAAAATAAAATCTCTTCAGCAATATTTTAAAGCATTTAATTCACTTTTATTTAAATAAATTTTTTTCTATCTCTATCAATCAATCAATCAATCAATACAGACGGGGATATAGTCTTAATCAATCCATAGAGGTTTAGATCATTAAATTTAAGAGTTATAGATAAATAGCTTGTTTGATTTTTTGGTTGATAGGGAAGTTGGAAAGGAGACAGCTTGATAGATAATTTTTTAGTTGATAAGTGAATAAGATAGACAGGCAGTTTTTACATTTGTGATTGTTTATTTTTATTTGCATATATTTAGAGTTGATTTTAATACTTCGTCATATTTCGAATATATTTAATAATCTTGATACCTAGCTTTGTTTATTTGTTTGTTTGTTTTTTTTAAGAAATTGCAGAGATGCATATTAACTCAGTCATTTAGTAGATTAATTAAGAAATACTGAATTGAAGAGATTTTTACCTATTCGGCTTCTCTTCTTGGTGCATTAGAACCTGAATCATGGTCAATACATTTTCTGCAATAAAATTAAGAATCTAGTTCTACTATTTTGTTGGTATTTCTACTGTTTTAGTTTTTAAAGAAAAGAATTGCTTAGAGATAGTGAGTCAATTTATTAATGAAATATAATTTGAAGCAGTTTATAAATAACTTAGAGATCCACGTAGAATATTACTTACCATAAATTATAATTTAAAGTAATTATATATTTTGCTATTAACAAATCTCGGTATGAATGTACGTATGTTTGTTTTGTGTTTAGTGATGTTAATTAATTAATTAAAATTAATCGAATAAAGTTCAATGAAATTAATTAATTTTTGCTACCTGTCTTTTTTTTCTTCCTCAGAATACAGTGCAAAAGCTGAAAATTCTCCTGTCTTTTACTTCCAATACATTTTTGTAATTGTTTGAGCAAACCATTTATCTTTGATCATAAATACTTCAAATCTTTAGTCTATGTTCATGGACTTTAACCTATTGATTTAATGTAAATTATTTTAAAAAAACGATCTAATTAAATTGGTAAGCAAATAAATTTTAGAATAGAAGTAAGAGATTGATTTGATAAATAGATAGATAGATAAGTTAAAGAGAAATTTTTAGAAAAATCATGAAAAAAAGTGATAGATTAAATTATATATAAGCAAAAAAGCGTATCTTTATTTAAAATTTATAAAGATATAAATATATATGGAAAGATCTATATTATATTTAAAGAAATATATTCTTATTTATATCTTTTTGAAGTTTCGCAATATATATTTCCTACTTATTTATTTAATTACTACTTTTTAACAATCTATCAAATTGTATATCTCTATCTTTCAAGTTATCATTCAATCAATCAATCAAGCAATCAAACAAACAAACAAACAAAATAGCAAATCAATTAAAAATCTGCTTGTAAATTAACAAATAAATTAATAAACATACCACTGTACTATCAATTGCTTTTACTAATCTGATTCTTTATTTTCTTATCTATCTAATCCCAATTAATTTTATGAGTAAACGCTTGAAGATCCTGACGAGCTTTAAAGCTAACCCTGACTGCTGCTACCGCCTTGCAGTGCAGCAGTTTCTTTCTACTTGCGCTATTGTTATTTTCCAAGACCGACTTGACATTAAGGCGATGAAGCAGCCCTAAATAATTTATAAATATTCAAAATAAGCTAAATTACTAAGGTATTATTTTTCTAAAATGAAAGTTCTTTCGTCCTCTGCTTGCTCTGATGTAAGAAAATACAACAGATAGAGGAGCATTTTGCTTTTTAAGTGTTAAATTTACTAATGCGAGAATGCAGTGTTATAGCCATATTTAGGCAAATAACTATAGAGCTAGTAGTAATTCTAATAGTAGGGATAGTCAGGATAATACATACTATCTTTCTTATTGCTACCCTTTTAGAATGATTTTTTTATAAAATATTTTTGCTTTTCCTAGTTTTATTTATAAGCTTTGCTCTCTCTTTGTTATCAAATTTTGAATGCCAGATTACTTATTGCTTTAATTGTTTTTTTTTTCTTTCTTAATTTGTTTGTATATTTTTATCTTTTGTTTGTTTCTTTTAACTTTTAAAGATAACAAGCAAACTTCAATGCGATTTGCTTGTTAATTTCCAAGTAAATACATAAGCTAAGTTGGCAAGTAAATTCTATTCATTTTTAATTCCCATCAAAAAAAACACAATAAAACAAAAAAAAGAAAACTCAGTTCGTTCGTTCAATCAATCAATCAATCAATCGTTCATTTATTTATTTATTTATTCATTCATTTTTCGTTCGGTGAAAGTAATATTAATAATATTTATCTTGTTAATACTTATAATATAAGATTACTTATAAAGATTTGAATGAATAAAAAGATCAATAAATTAATCAAAATACATGAAAACCAATCAAGAACCAAGAGAAAACAATAAGACAATAAATAAATAAATTAATTAATTAATAAATCAACCAAAAAAAAAATAGCAAATAAATAAATTTATTTATTTATTAAAAGCTATTCTCATTTTAGAAATCAACAATTAATAAATTCAATTTTTATTTAAATGCAACAAATATTAATTTGAGAAAGATATATCTATAAATATACATCAAAAACGCGTTTTACTTAGTTATTGTCATTAAATATTTGATGGGCTAATTAGCCTTACCAAAATTAGAATCAATAATAGGAATTTTGATTGGTAAATTAGAATAAGAGTCTATACATCCTAAACCATTTTTTAACACACCAAAACATATACAAAAATACAATTTTTGAGCTAACTTGCCGTTCAGAAATGTTATAATGGAAAACCTACTAGAATTTTCCTTGTAGTTTAGAATATTTAGAGTAATATTAAAATTTAATGTCATTTCCACAACTTTGAGTAGTACTATTTAATTATTATACCTTTATTTCATAGATTTAAAAAGAATTTTTTAAGGACCTACTGATGAAAATACATAAAGATAGAGATAATTTATTATGTAGAACTCCTCAAACAATTCAATATTTTTATTTATTAAAATATCTTTTTTATTTCTAATCATTCTAATAATGATAATTAATTTATTATATATTGTCAATTATATTTTATTTATGGCAATTTTTTTATACTTACATAATGCGTAACTCAAAATCCAATTATTGACGCACTATCAAATTTTTAATTGTATCAGTCATATCTTTCAGATTGGCTTTACTATCCATATTCAAATTAAACATTTCTTATTACAAAATTTAAATAACACAATTAAATCCTTGACTTATTTTCTTCTTAATTTATTCTGATGCCATCTAAATACATCTTTTCAGTAATCTTCTTATTCCTTTCAATCAGTCTAAAATTAAATACATTTCATGTTAAATTTTTATTTCTTTTAAAAAAACTTTTTTTAATTAAGTTTGCTTTAAAATCCATAAATATAAGTGTCTCAAATGTAATCAAAAGCTGACTTATTCTTTTATGTTCGTTTGATTATATGCTATTTATCAGTTTGATTTCTTTAAATCTCAAAAAAAACATATATTTATATTTTAACAAGTGTTTTAAATAAGTTATATTTAACATTTGAATTTCTGTCTCATAAAAATAATCGTAATTAACTTGATGTTTAAAATTTAAATGAGTTTTTACTTCCTAAGCTTTTCAGTAATTAAAAAAATATTTCATTTTTTGAAAATAGTAATTATTAAAATAAAATATTTAAATTAAAAAATTAAATTATTTTAAACAAAAAGAAAATAATTTGATTTCTAGAAAAATCAATAAAAATTTAAATAAATTTTCTAACATATTTTATGAAATTAAATATTCAATCAAGCAAATTTTTATAAATTTTAATACAATTAAAATTAAATATTATTCTCTAAAAATAGGTTTTTAAATGATTTTAAAGAAAATTTATTTTTATTTTTAGAATAAAAAATTTTATTTAAGTTCTTTTTTTAAATAAGTCAGCTAAAAAAAATTGTAAAAATAAATAAATAAATATATATTAATTTGAAATCAAATAAAAAGAAAACTTAAGTATTTAATTGATATAAAATAAAAAATGAATTTAATTTCAGTAAAAAAGAATTTTTTATTATTTATATTAATGAAAAGTAAAATTTTTAATTTTATTTAATTAATTTAAAAAATTAATTTAAAAATTTTATTTTAACAAACTAATTTTTCCAATTAGGTTGTTAGATAAAAGGAAAGTAAACTTTTAAATAATAAATATTCTAAAGATACAAAAAAAAATTAGCTTTTAACAGCTGATAAAAAATATATTTTAATCATTTAACTTCTATATTTGTTAATGAAATAATACTTTGCTTACACAAATAAATCATAAAATTTTTAAAAATTAATAAATTTAAAAATAAGCTAAATATATTTTAAATAATAAATTCTAAAAATATTTTGAAATGACTAGGTAAGTAATAAATGTCTATAAAAATACATTAATAAGAATTTCAATTTTATTATCTAAATTGACAATAATAATTGTTAAAAAAAGTACTGTACTTAAAAATAATTTAATATTAAAGAAATAAGAATTATTAAATATTTTAAAATTTATTAAAAAAGCTTTATTTTATTTTATAAATTTTATAATTTAAAAAAATTAATTATTATTTTGACATCTCTTTTAAATTAATTTAAAGTGTAAATAAATACATATATAAAAATAATTTATTCTTTTGAAAAGTTTAATTTCTTTCATAAAAAGTTAAAGTCATTTTCCAAAACAAATGGGAAATATTTATTAACAATTCCATTTATTTCTGGCTCAATTTCTTCAAATTGAACTTCACTTAACCAGATATAAAGATATTCAAATTATTAGGGAACATTTTTGTTTTTGTTAGTATCTTTAAAGGCTGGTGTTGAAGGAGCAGACTTATCTTTAGGAGAATTAGATTGCTATCCTTTGAATATTGATATCTTGGGGAGAAGTGGGGCACCTTGCTATGAATGAGATATGTTATAAATTCTATTCCAAGCAGCAATAAAAATCAGTCTTCCCAAGGTGCGGCCGTAGATATCTTTTTCAAATTTAACAAATTTTTACTTTTTGGCTATTTTATCATCAATTATGGTTCTTATATTTTTGTAACAAGTCATAACTACTGCTCTTAAAGGCAATTTTATTGAATCTGGTAACTTATTGTGATAGGTTTCTAGATTTTCATACTTATCTACTTCTTCAGTAATATATGCTGCTATGTTTTAGAAGAACTTTTAATTAGGTAAGTTGGTTATCTTTTCGTACTAGTCCTTAAAAAGAGCAAACCATTTCTTTTCATCATTTTTGACATTGTTAATTAAATTGTTGTAGGTCTTGGAACTCACATACTAAGGCCAGTCAACATTCTTGATTTAAAAGATATTGTCTTTCGACTGTAGTATATCTCTTAAACCTCTAATATAGTAGAGGATATTTTTAGTAATAAAGAACTAAAGTCCTACATTGAGTTCATCACAAATAGAGTGTTAGAAGACGATATCTTCTGCAAAATAATTCAAGGATTCTATTAAAAAGAAATACTAATTCAAACATTCTAAGTAGATTTTAAATTATTCTTCTTTCTTATCAACTTGTTACTATTTGTTTTATGCTAACTTCGAAGCAAATTATTGCAATTTGTTTACTGACATCATCATATTTTATCTAACTTCTTCGTCATTTCCTTAATCTCCAATGTGATTTGAAGAGGTATATCTGCTTTGAAGTACCATGATCTTATCGAAGTCATTTTTGTAAAAAGATTTGTGATCCTTTTCATTTTTTAAATACTTCTAAAGAATTGGTTCATCATAAAGTTCTTTAAAACCTATACGCTTATCGCAGTCTGTAACAAAAATCTTTCTAAATATACCAACGCACTCTACTGAAATATCTTAAGTAAATTTTCTCTTTGTCTTACTAATTGTAAATACATCACTAACGAAGCATTAGTTTATAGCTTAAAGTTATACTACATCGCTACTATAGCATCCAAATGGAAAACTATTGAAAAGCATTCTAAATAAAATAACTCCTAATGACCATATGTCCACCTAAGTTATTTAAGCAACAAAAAGTTAATGGGTAATTTACTTAGTAAAAATTATGAATAGCCAAGTATTTTTTGAAAATATTTCATCAAAATTGTATTTTTTAAGATTTTGAAATGAAAAAATAAAATATCTTCACATGAATGAATTAAGATGCTAATAAATTTTTGCTCTGGCCTAAAAAATGTAAAATTATTAGGTTTACCTTATAGTTGTATGACAGTCCTTATAAAATCTCAGGAGCTGCATAAGGTAGAGTCCAACAACGAGATTTAGTCAACTAGTTAAAGCTTAATTGTTTCGCTAATCCAAAATCTGATATTTTTGCAACATTATTTTTCATCAGAATATTTCTTTCCTTCAAATCACGATGAATAAAACCTTTTTCGTGAATACTTTTGAAACCCTATAATATTTAAGCGAAAATAGAGAGGGCTTCATCTTCATTGAAAATACAATGCATTTTAGTACATTAGTAATCACGAAGGTCTCCCTAATCGCAATACTCCATAACTATCAATGGTAATTGAGTATGTTGATCATAGAAAAATTCAACCATTTCAACTATATTTTCTCCTTTAATACTTTTTAAAGCTGTTAATTCTGTTTCTAAAAGCTACTTGTTGTCGTCTTGAAGTCTTTTAATCGCAAACAACTTGCCATTTTCATCTTCTGCTAAAAAAACTGTGCCAAAGGATCCACTATTCAACGTCTGCTTTACTTTGTATTTACCAAAAGATTATTCCATTGAATTTGCTAAGTATAATTATTCTATAAAGATTGCTTACTTATTTACTAGATATGAAAATTAATTAATTAATATTTTTTAATTTTTAATTATTATTTTGCAAAGAAAAAATTTTAAATATCTACAAATCAATAAATAAATTAATTAATAAAAAAAGAAAAATAAATACTATTTATTATGTAATAGCTGCATATAGAAACCTCAATCATAAATTTGATCAAATCCATTCATTATTAATATAAATTTCAGACACATACAAAATAAGTCATTGATATTTCAAAATTTTATGGCTCACATTTCTTCTCCAAAATACTAGTTTAGCTAAACAAAAATTATTTGGGTGTAAACAATTCACATAATTTCTCAAAATTAATAATTAAAGCAACAAAAAAACAAAACAGGTAATAAATATCTGAGTATAATATTAAAAACAAACATAAATATTTAATTTATTTTAATGTGGTTATTATTTATTCAACGAAAGTATCTATTTTAATTATTTAATTTCTATTGTAGGTAATTTTAATGATAAGAAAGTCTATGATGAAAAGTCTTTAAGCATATCCAAATATATTAATTTTTCATTTTTAAGTAAAATTCTATTTAAATAAAATTATCACTTACTTAAATGAGAACTTATAAGAAGAAAATTATGAAATTTATTTATTTTAATACATTTTTTTATTTATTTATACATAATATTTAATATTCTAATATAAATTTTAAATTAGATTTCTTTATTTTTATATTATTTGCTTGTATGAATAATGAATGAATGAATGATTGATCAATAAAACAAAAGAGAAAAGAGGAATTTAAAGAATTTTCTATTTGATTTTTAATATATTCACTGGATTAATTGCATAGTTGGCTTCTCAAATTTATCTATATGAGTTGTAAAAGTTTTATTCAATTTTTTATTTTGCTTTTCTTGGAATTCAATATAAAGTTATTGTATTTTTAATGATTATTGATCCGAATATTTTTTTTCTTTTAGTATTTGAGGATTCCAGTTTTCTGGTTTTTATACTTCATTTAGTAAAGGAATTTCTACACAAGGATTTTTTTCCATTTTTTTGGTAGGAATTATCATAATAGGCACAATTAGAGGTTCATTCGCCTTCAAACAGGACAGATCTAAAACAGGAGTGATGATAATTTGATAAGAAATTTGAATTATTGTTCCTTCTGCAGAGCAAGCAATTGAAGAAGGTACAGCCATGCTAGTCTATACCAAATAATCATTGACTTGTATTTCAGTTTTAGAAACTACGATTTATTCTTTCTTTTAATTCAAAACATTCGCATTCATTTAAACATTTTCAATTAATTCTATTTTTAGCTTATTAAGCTTTTTTTTGAACTTTTTTGTATCGCATTCTATTTGCATATTTATTATCTCAGTGGGAGCAAATGATTACTAAGTTAGCATACAAGTTAAAGAATATGACCCTGCAGTTAAACAGCAAGAGAACAAAGGTGAATTTTCTATTTATTTTGTTATCATATCATGAAACTTAGGCAAATACTAACTTATAAATATTTGTTAATTGCCTTAAATAGGCATGCGACTCAAATCTGTAGGTAGAATATATGCCATTAGAGAGTATTATATGCTACAATTATGATTAATTGATTTGAAATACTTGATTGAAGATGGTAACTATTCAGCAATTTTTACATGAAAAGGTATAGACCATTAACCGGGCATTAAAACAAAACTTTCCTGTTTGCCAGATGTTGCGAAATCATAAATTGGCATGCTAACACTGAGAAATCTTTTTGTCTCTTTCGCTTTTTTGGTTTCCTTTTTTTTATTTTTAGAAAGAACTTAATAGTCGAATCTTGTTTCTTCTATTCCATCAAACTGAACAATCAACAAATGCCCATTAAAAGGTTCTTCCAGGTTAATATGCAAGAAGCCTTCAATAACTTCATTACTTACAAAGTGAGTCTTTTCAATCTAAATAAAAATACCTCCTTTAACACCTACTCTATTGTCTTTCTCTTATATATTACCCATCAACTTAATAAAAATTACTATACCTAATTTAATTTTAATTAAATAATCACATAATTGAATTGAAAACTATCTAAGCAATAATTATTCTACTTATTTTATTTTTAATTTTACTATTGCTGGTTTCGCTCAAATTATTCATTCATTTATTTAATAAAAGTTGTTTTTATTTATAAAATTAATTAATAACTAACTATTTATCCATTCATCATTAAAAATTCAAAGATCCAAAACTCCTTAATAGCCATGAATTGTCATTAATTAATATTTCTTTATGTAATGCTATGCAAACCATTCCAATGCTATAATGTCTTAAAAAACTAGCTTAATTGAACCAGTTTAATAAAAATAAATTTTATTATATTTTAAAGTATAAAAATCACATTATTCATTTATAAATAGAATCATAAAATTTTTTATTTCAAAAAATAATAAATATAAATAATTTAATGGTAAAAATTTAGAATATTTCAACAAATGTTAATAAATTAAATTAGGAAAATTAATTTATTATTTCTTCTTTAATAGGAAAATATTACAAAAATAAAATTTCATTAAGAGTATTAGTCATCAAAAACTAGAAAAAGTAAAAATATATTTTACCAAATTAGAAAATAAAATATCTTTAAATTTTAAAAATTTACACTTTTTAAAGTAGATTTTAGAAAGAGTTTATGCCATTTATGATTAATTTTGCATAATTTAATTATGTTTAATATAAAATAAAACTTCAAATTTACATTTAAAATAAAAAAATAATGAGTTAATAGCTATTAACTCACTTACTAAATACTCTTATTCCACATCTTAGTATTCACCCATTTCAGCATCATTTTGATTAAATACTGTTATAAATTAATGTAAAAATATCATTCAATAAAGAAAGAAAGAAAATTATATAATTTAATGAATAGATAGATATAAAAATTTTAATAAAATCATTAAATCTTTAAATACTTTGTTTAAACAAATGTTAATGGAATTTTACAAAATAAAAATAATTATAATTATTTAATTTGAATTATTATGTTATTTTAATAAATTAGCAAAAGACAATATTATAAATGGATTAATTGATCATATAAAATAAAATTTAAAGAAATAATAAAGAGCTAATCAGTTAATTAATAGTTGTTGTTGTTGTTGTTATATTAAATGGATAGAATAGATAGTGTTACTTTTTAATGAATCTAACATTTATTTTTAATTATTTATAATTAATTATTTAAATAAAACAATTGACAGGTAAGTAAGTAGGAGAATGGTACAAACTCATTTGTCATATCTGCCAAATTGTACTTACTTAAACAACTTTCAATTTATTTTCTAAAAAACAAATTATTATATACGAAGTGTATGTGTTATAATAGCTTGGTCGGCATTATTTGTGTGTGTTTTAGAAGGGTTTCCATTAATTTGATTAGTATAAAATTATTTAAGTGAATAGAGTTTTTAATTAAATTATGTTTGAATTTACTTATTTTTTAATTAGTTTATATATATTTTATATCAGTTTTTTATTATAATTTTAAAAAATTATTACAATCTTTAGATTGGTTAAAGAATTAATGAATGAGATTAGTCTTTTTTTTTAATTATTTCATAAATTTTATTGCAATTTTTTTAATTAATTTAATTTCAAGTTCAACCTGGGATTTCATAATTAGATTGGAGTACTAAGGCCTTAGAGACTATTTCTCCTTCTGGGATGTTTCCTTTGTGAACAGATGGTAAAATAATGATGCATTCTTCTTTAGATTTAATGAATCCATCGAAGGGATCATGCTTCAAGGAATTAAATTGCACTTTAGATCCGACTAGCTTGGCGTCCACATACAAAGGAGGATCAGATATTTGTGTAAGAAAAATTATTTCACCCATTTTTTAAATAAACTAAGAGATTGTTGTATGAGTTTCAGACGATAGACCTCCTAATTTAAGACTATTTTATATTTCATCAGTGATTGATGAAACGCAGGATCTATTGAAACACTTTTATATCATTTGCTTATAGTTGAGCTAGTAGCTCTTTCTCAAGACACTTAGGATTGGACCATCTAAGTTCTCAAAACATCCGACAGTTTTAATAGCATCTATTGAAGGTTGCAAATAAGTATTAACAGTATCTAAGAGCCTCTAAAAGGTAGTTTTGTAGAAGTAAATAATACCTTTCATATTTAATTCTTGGCAAAGTACATCAAAGAATAAGTCCAAACAATCATATTTGTAGAATTCAGCTATTTATACTGTTAGCTCATTCTGCATAGGAAAACTAGATGAAGTATTGTTTGAAAATCCTTGAATCATTGAACGTAAGTTTGATTGGAGTGTCATGACTTCTTCTTACAGACTTTTGTTTTCTTTTGCTAGTGTTTCTTTTTCTCTCTTCACATTATTAAATTTATTCATAACTATTTTCATTCTATTTTTGAGTTCTTTGACTTCTGTAGTGTCTCCTTCTTTTTCTTCATTAGACCATTCCTCATTATTATTATTGTTAGAGGAGCAGTGATTATGGTGCATTGAGTTACTATTACTTGTTGTAGTGTGGTTTGTATTCTTTACTTTTAAAATATTATTATTACTGCTCATACTGCTGCTTACATTATTATTGCTACTCAGAATATTATTGTTAATACTATTTAAGCCATGTTAAAATCCAGCTGGATTGTTATTGGAAATCAAATTTTAATTCTGGCTATTAGCTGCAAAGTGGTTAGATGAATGAGAGCGATTATTGCTATTTATATTAAAAATTAATTTTCATTTAATGATCTTATAAAATACTAAAAACTAGATACAAATTAATAATCAATCATTTTTCATATGAATTACTTTTAAAAATTGAATCCTCTAGAACGAATGTCTTAAGGGTCTTCGTACTTGTTAGTGCCGTTTCCAAAAAATATATTTTTGCTAAAATAGGATTTTAAAAATAAATTGAATGAGTTATAGTCTACTTCAAAAAGCAAGCAGATTAATTAACTAATTGTAAATGCTAATTTTCAATTAGCAATCGGAAATATAATTTTAAAAATAAAATACCTCATTTAAATTATTTAAAAAAGTCTCCTATTAAGTGGTATTAGTTAAAACCTAATTTATTTTTTGACTTCAAATTCTTTTAAAAATGAGACAATCAATCTATTTTGCTTAAACTATGCTTATTTTACTTATTTACTTGCTTCTTTTTTTTATTTATTTTTTACTTCTTTTATTTTGCTTGCTTTTTATCTTTTCCTTTATTAATAATCTTTCCTATTTAGATGATAAATGTTTTGTACAATCAATCAATTTCAATTGTTTTTAATTAATGCACTACTTTATTTTTTAATTGATTAATTGATTGATTGATTGATTCAAAAATTTTTAAATAAGATTTTCAAAAATAATTGCTATTAACAGACACCTTGATAGAAGATTAATTATTAAAAAATCAAAAATTATAAATTAAGTGTGAATTGTTTTAATTTTATCTTTACAAGAAAAGTCCATGTAATTAATTGTTTTTATGATATTTTTTGATCAAGTGCTTTTAATTCAAATATTTTTGAATTTGACTCCCAATAATAAGTGATTTGTTTAATTAATTTGGAAATTTAACACATTTTTGATCGATCGCATTCAATTTTCATTCAAAAATTAAATAGATTAATTAAGCGAACGTTTGAAAAGTATATTTATAATTTTTGAGCAGCTATAAATCAAATTAATTAAAAAAACAAAATTTGAAAGGAAATTTCAAAAAATATTGTAAAATTTAATAATCTTCACAACAGTCATATTAAAAAATCAAAAATACAATATTTCGATACAAATTAAAACAAAAAAACAAATAAAGAAAAAATAAGCAAATCAATTAGCAAAACTAAAAGGAAAGTAGTAGCTACCTATCTATCTATCAAAATATCAACTAGCTAAACATAGATTCATACAAACAGAAAATTTAACTTAAGTTACATTAAAAACAGATAAAAAATAGTAAGAAGAAAGAAAATAAATAACAATGGCTGCAGTTCAAAAAGAAGATAATGTTTATACACATGTTATCGCGATAGATTTCGGTACAGGAGCTTCAGGGTAAAATATTGAATCTAAATTATTCATATCAAATAAATAATTTATCATATAGAATAAATATATGGATTTTTCATTTATATTGATTTTAAGCTCAAAATAGCAAAATATTTTATTTTATTAATGCATTTTATTTTCTAAAATTATTTAACTTATTTGAAATTATAATAAAGATATGGCATAGCTCCTAGATTCTTAGACTAAGATGGTAAGCCAAGAATCGAAGTATTCAATCCAAGTGACGATTCTGATGATCAAAAAACTCCCACTGCAATTCTTTTTGATAATGACTATAAATTTATGGAATTTGGTTCCTCTGCCCTTCAAAGATATGCAGAAATTTTGCAAGACGGAGAAACAGCCTTGCTTTTCTAAAATGTAATTAACTTAAATTGATAATTAATTGAATTAGCTGACCAATTTACGATATAATAGTATAAAATTCATTTGCTTCACTTAAACACTTATGCAAAGAGTGTCGACGGAAGAGAAATGCCTCTTATGGTTATAGTTAAGGAAACATTGAGATACATCGCTGAGCAAGCACTTGAAAAGTTGAAAGAATAAATTGGCAAAGTTATCCCTTCAAAAGTTAGATGGGTAATTACAGTTCCTGCATTATGGAGCGAAGAACACAAATTCTTCATGCGTAAGGCCGCAGTGGAAGCAAATATAATTCCCTCTACTAACTCTCCTAATCTGCTATTATGCCTTGAGGTAAAATTTTAATTGAATAAAAGCTTATAAACAAGTCTAATATATCAACAGATATATATTTCTAAGTCTCTATTATATACTAAATAAATTTTTATTTGTAAATTATTAGCCTGAAGGAGCAAGCATTCAATGCAGAGAAGATGCTGAAATGTCTTTAAGAACTTAAATGGAAAAAGGATCTGTTGTCATGGTTTTAGATTGCGGTGGTGGTACTGTTGATATTACAGTTCATAAATTACTTTGTGAAGTACATGAAAGATTTTTATGTTAAGAAATTATTCCCTCTAGTGGAGGCTGCGAATGGGGATCCAAATATGTAGAACTCTATTTCGAAGAATTCTTAAGAGAATTTTTTGGAGCTGAACTTTACTAAAAATATATCAACAATGCTCTCGCTAGACTTGACATTATTAAAGATTTTGAAATAGTTAAAAGGTAATTATTAATTAAAAAATATTTCAAATAAAAATCTAATTTAAAATAAATTTCAATGTTAATAAAACTTTTTTTACTTAAAATAGAAAATTCAAAGGAACACCTAATGAAAGAACCATGATTAAATTCAGTTATTTAGGAGGTGATTTATCTTAAGGGTTGTTAAATAAATTAGTTAAGGCACATAACGATAAGCATCCTCCTGAGTTCCATATCAAAACTAAGGGTGTTGCTAATATAGAGCTCCCATCTGCTTTAATGGCATCATTCTTTTAAACTCTCTTTGAGAATATTAAAAATAAAGTATAAATTTTATTATTATTATTTTAATGATATAATTATAACTCATTTCAACTAAATATAAATAGGTTGAATAGCTTATCAAGTAAACAGAAGCTAAAGGGGAAAAAGTTAATTTCATTTTCATGGTAGGTGGTTTCTCTGAAAGTCCATTCTTAAAATAAGAAATTAAAAATAAGTTTGAAACTGATAAAGTTCAAGTTTTAGTTCCTCGTCGTCCTCAAGTTAGTGTAATCAGAGGTGCTTGCTTCTATGGATTAAATCCTCGTAGTATTTCATCTCGTATTGCTAAAAAAACCTATGGTATTAACACCCTCACTACTTTTGATCCTGAAAGACACCCTGAAAGCAAAAAGGTAAACAAATTTTAAATTAAAAAGTAAATGTTAATTGCTGAGTTTATTTAAAATTATTTTAAATGAAAGAAGCAATAACATTAGAACTTAAATATTTTTGCTCTAAAATATTTTAAACTAATTAATTATATGATAATAGGTCATAATTGAAGGAGAAGAATTTTGTGAAGATGTGTTTGATGCTTTTGTTAGAAAAGGCGATAGCGTTGGTAGTGAAGAAGTACATACTAAAATATATTGCCCTGTAAGAAGCAGATAAGTTGTGATGAGAATCATATTCTTTGTTACTGATAAAAGAGATGTTGAATTTGTGGATGAAGATTCAGTAAGACAACTAGGTGAGCTTTGTATTGATATAGGTAAACCTTCATAATCAGTGGAAGATAAAACTGTTAAAGTGACACTCTTATTTGGCTCTACTCATATATTTGCTACAGCAACAAATAAAGATGGTACAGAAATTAAAAATTGCGAGTTTAAATTTGAGTGTGGTGAGTGAAAGCTTTGAATTTATCATTAAAAATTAAATAAAGCAAATCAATTAAGAACTATTTAATTAAAATTATAAGCATAAATTATAAATAACTATATCAATTAATCTACCTACCTACTTACTTTATACTTTATCACTAAAGCATTTATTTGAAAATTATTACTCTTCACTCAATCTATTTAGTATATAAAGACAGTAAATTACATCACATCATAAAAGAAATAAAACAAAAAACCAGAATAATAAAGAGAAAAACTGTTACCATAAATTTTCTTTGATTTAACATTAGAAAATTGTATGATGGTCTTTTATGGAATGAGTAATTGAAGAAAAGCAATAAAATAATTAATTAAAAATAAGAACAAGTGATATTGAATAATAATTTAAAAAATAAATGAATAATTAAATAAGTGAGAAAAGTAAAGCGTAATTAAAAAAATAAATTACATATTTTATAAACTAATTAATAATAAAATAAATTATATAAATATAATGCATTTAGAACAATTAAATAAATATACTATCGTGTAAATTTTTATTTGCTTAATCCATTCATATATATCAACATTATCTAAATATGTATTTATGTATGTATGTTTGTATTTGCTTTCTTTAATTCAAACCTCATTCTTTCTTTACTTAGCATATTGTCAATTTATTATTGATTCACTTTCATTTATCATCATTTAAATAAAATCTTTAAATAATATTTCACAAAAATTAAATTTATCTTTCTATCTTAAAATATTAATTATTATCAAAATAAAACAAATAAACAACAAAATATATTTTTTCAAAATATATCTAAATATGTATTTATGTATGTATATTTGTATTTGCCAAACCTCATTCTTTCTTTACTTAGAATATTGTCAATTTATAATTGATTCACTTTCATTTATCATCATTTAAATAAAATCTTGAAATAGTATTTCACAAAATCTATCTTAATATATTAATTATAACAAAATAAAGCAAATAAACAACAAAATATATTTTTTCAAAATATAACTTCAATAAATTTATGTAAAATTAAAATTTAGTTTTTTCTATTTTTCATTTATAAATTGTATCAAAGTTTATTTTAATTAAGATTTTTATATTTTTCTTTAAGAGTATCTATTTCACTTAAATAGTGATCCTTTAACTTATACAATAGTTCATGTTAAACTCTATGACTTTGGAGTCTTTGTGTTTACTTAATAAAAGTTTCTTCATTTATAGTGTCAAGATGTGAGCCTTGACATATTGCATTATAGATTGACTCTGAATTTTTACCTTTCATTATTTTTACTGTTTTTGCAAATGCAGGAATAACAAAATCTATGTCATTAATATGTTCTGCTAGATTTGGCATTCTTTTCATGTAAAAGGGGCATTTGGTTGAAAAACAACTATTTCTTGCAAGATTTGAAACATTGTTGAAGCACACCCTAAATCTTTTGTCTTCACTTAACTAATTGTTTATAGTTTCTTATGTAAAAGGGGTTTATTCTAAATGTAAAGCAAACATTTCTTCCTAAAATTTTTGCTTGAGTATCTTATAACAGCTTTTCATTATGTTTTCTGACTCAGATTTGATAAAGTGTACAAGTTTTTATTTTTTTATATTTCTATATACTTGTTTAATATCATATTCGATTTCAGAAGTATTTCTAACATAATTATTTGAATATTTTTAAGCATGAAGTAGCCATATCCATAATAAGCTACCGTCAAACTTTTCTGAAGGAAGGAAATACTAGCATATTGCTTTCATACTTGTGAAGAAATTCAATTTTCCATAATTCATAAAATCAAACCTATCTTTCTACATATAGATTTTAGATTTCTTAGTAAATTCAAAATAGTTCTTTTCCTTTAGGGCTTTTTCAACAATTTTCATCATTTCTCGAACTGTAGGATATTATTTAACATCTCCTACAACATTATCAATAATGTCTTGCTCTATTTTTTTGAATTCAGAGTTATCATAACCAACTATACCAAAGTATGTGTGAAGCTTTTCTAAGCTTTTAGTTCCCCTAAATTAATAAAATTATTTTTTTTTAATTTATTTATTTATTGTTTTTATGAAATTTACCTGCAAACTATTTCTTATAAAATTGCTTCCAAAATTTCTTTTATTTTTAATTTATCTTTCAATTCACCCTTCTTATAAAGAAAGAATAAAATAACAAGTGCTTTAGAAGGGTCTTAACATTAAGTAGGATGTCCTTCATGAAAAGTTATCATAGCCTACCTTGGCTAATTAATTAGCATTTAGCAGTAAGCTTTGAAAAAGGGTCTATCTCCATAAACAATATTTATTGAATGATAGATTTTATCCATTAGTTCTGCTATATAAGTAGATTATTCTTAATTAAGCAAGAAAATTAAAAGATTGGCTAACAGAGCTAAGTAGCATTCAGAAAAGCAAGTATCCACATTATGCATAACATTAAAATTCATTAGAATATGGAAAAACTAAGTTGTTAATAAAGGTTTTAGATCATAATCTTTTTAGCCAAATAGAGGAATAACTGCATCTATTTTTTCTTTTAGCTACTCAGACCTATTTTAATAAAAATAAATTAATTTATTATTTCTCAAAGCTATATTTGGATAAAATTTTAAAAATTGAACTAATTTTGTTATTTATTTTAAAAATTAAACCAAAAAACTAAAATTAATTAATAAAATGTTTTAAATAAAAACTCTAATTAATTCTAATAAAAAGTTTTTTAAAATGAAAAATTTGAAAATTATAATTAGATATTTCTTATTTATTTATCTCCTACAACTTTTTTACACAAATCTTTGTTAGAAAATCAAAAATTTATCAATTTTAACAATAAATTTGAACTTATAAACATTTTTTAAAGAATTTTAGCTAGGGAAATAAAATTATTTTTATTAAAAAATCTAAATTTTAATTAATTTTTAATGAACTTAAATAAGAGCTTAAGAAATTTTAATAAATATTACTTGTAGTAAAAAAGCTATGTCTCAGTTAAATCTTTAATGACGTCTTTTTTAGGTTGATATTCTGTCCATTTTAGAGGCTTGTAGCCGTGATTTTCCTCAAAATAACTTCTAGTACCATATTCAGCTCCTATGTAAAAGCCTGCATTTAGATTTAATTCTTTGTCAGGTGTATTTTAAATAGAAATAGTATCTACATTAGCATTGATTCTAGCGATATCAATAATTTAAACAAGATATGGATTAATCATGGATCCATCAGATCTATAAATTCTTTTATAAAAATCATTACTAAAAGCTAAAATGTATTTTTATAATTTACTTAACTCCTAAACCAATTAATGGAAAGGCTGATATTAAATGGTATTAACTTTTAACATCATTAAGGCCATCTACAATATCTTCTTAAAGAAATACATCTTTCATATTTTCAAGGGAAAATATTGATTTTTCTTAGTCACTTTCCTAGCTAATAGATGACTTCACTTTTAATAACTCATCAATAAAAAATTTTTTCATCTTAACAAAAGTTTCAACATCTATTCCTCTCATAGCAAGAGCTCTTTAATGAAATTTACCGACTTCAGTTCCAATTTTAATTCTTTCTGATTCTACTTCATTGTCTAAATCATCTAAATCAAAAATTTATCAATATTCATTTTTTAAAATATGAAAAGTAATTTTACTTAGTGTGCTTTTAGTTAATAAATCCGAAAGAGATTTGATAAGAATTACCATATTATAACGAACACGATTAGATTATTGTGCTATAAGACGTTATCTTACTGTCATGTTCTAAATGGGTTTATTGGTGGGTATATTTGTTATATTGATTGATGTTACAATCTCATCCATATATTTAACTAGAAAATCTATAGCCTATTATATTTCATTTTTATCAATTTCTTCTTAGCCATATTTGACAAGTAGGTCATTTACCCAAGAAGAAAAAATATTAATCATTTCATCCACATCCAAATTTCTTTCTTTAACTAGGCATTCATTTGGATTGTTCTTGAATTAGATTTCATCTCCATAATTTTCTTTCGAAATGACATAAGTACCACGAATAACCTAATAAATAATATTCTTAATTATAGCATTATTTAAATTTTTCAAAAAATGTTTACCTATTTTGAAGGCTTTGACCAAGGATATTATTAAATATCAACTGATATGTCTACACATTCTTAAAATTATAAATCTGGTATGATATCTTCTATAACTTAGTTAATGAATTAATACTAGTTTTAATTGTAGTACTCTAAATCCTTTCCACCAAAATACTATTCATATGCGTAACAAACTTTATGACAAAGCTATTCTGTTGAATAGTTTTTTTAAAGAGCAGATGCAAAATATAAATGCTTTTTTAAATCATAATTTCCTGTATTAACAAAGAATAAGTTGCATCTAGAATTAACTCTATCAAATTCATTCTTCAATTCAGTAAAAGTTGCTATTTCTTATGCTCTCATAAATAAAATGATAAAAATATCTTTATTTCTGGATTATAGAACTATATTTTTTAATATTTGCTCAAGTATAGTCATTCTTACAAAAGAAGACCAGCTTTATTTCATCTTTCCATTTTAGAAATCAAGTTTGATATGAGTTCCGAATTTTTACTTAAAAACTGGAACATAATTCTTTACATATTCTTCATATGTCTTTTAAGTACATCTAAGCTCTTAATCTAGACAAACTTCATCCAAAGCGATAAATTCATTGTTGGTTAAATGCGCCTAAAAATTATATGTTGAGATAGGCCAATTAAGCTTATTTTTTTAAAGATAGAGTTAGATATTCCTTTGCGCTTGATAGTAGCAACCTAAATCATCTTCGCAAATTACTGTAATATAATATATAAATGAATAAAATCTTTAAATTAAATTTAATTTATACAGAAAACATGTTTTTCTCTAAGACTTTATTTTGTTGGAACCTTGTAGTAGTAATATTATTACTACAATTAAGATATTTCTTCCATTCTAGTTAGTAGTGGTCACTCAATTTTTTAGATCTTTTTTAATTCATTATTAATTTTAAGAATATTTTGGCAGATATACTTGATTGCTAATTAAAAACAAAAGTGTCTTTCAAAATAATATCCGCATAAAATAATCAAAGTAAGTAGAAATTATATGATCTCATATAATACCTACATCCACAATTTATAAATAGCAAATTAGATTTTCCTTTACAAATAATTATAATTTCTAATTAAACATGATTTTTTAATTCAAATCAAATATTAAAGCATGTATGCTGATGAGATAAAATTAGTTACACAAAATATTATTAGAAATTATAAATCTTTACTATAGATAAATTTTAAAGTGTCTTAGAATGAATATAAAACAAAATCTATTTCAATTTAGCTCTAACTTAAAGTCTTAGAATTCAAATCCAATTTGTTCAATTTACAAATTTGTCTAAAATTAGAAGAAAATAAAGATGGATTTTTATTTAAAAGTGAGAACTCTTATTTATAGTATATTGTGCATTTTAAGTAAGAGTAGCTACATTTCTCTGAGGCTAGTACATTTAATACATTTTTGCTTCGTCATATATTTACTCATAAAAAGGAATAACTATTTAGGAAATCTTAAATACAATTTCTAAATGTAACTTAAGAAATTACAAAAATATTATTGATTTTAAGTATACCTACTCGCATCATTTTTTCTAACTCATTTTATTCAAAATTTTTAAATACCCTAAATTTTAATAAATAATACAACCTGTTAAAATTTGTGTATGTAGCCTTGAAAATAGGCAGCAAGCACCCTATAGGGTAATTTATATTTATTTTAAGTCTTTTTATTATTTAAAAAACTTAATGTATATATATTTATGGGATTTAATTTTAAATAATATTTTGTTGAAAAATAAATGTTATTTCTTGATGTATTTAAAAAAAGTCTAATAAAATATTATAAATTTTAAATTTATAAATTAATTTTGATATTTGTAATTTTTTTCAAATTTTAAAAGTAAAATTTATGAATTTATAATTTATGAGTAATTTATTTTTATTAAAATAAAATGTTTTTTTTTTAGTAGCTCTATAAATAGTTTTATTAAAAGGGAAAATATAATAAAATAAGCAAATTATTACTAACCTTTATTTATGTTGATTAATTCAAATTACTAATCTTTGTTTAAAATTATTTTTGCAAATATCTTTTTTTAGATAAAATGAAATAAAAATTAGGTAATAAATAACTTGTAAAAATATTTTTTTTTTTGTTTTCTATTTAAATTTATTGATGAATAAATTAAATATGTAAGTAAGTATGTATGTATTACTTTTGAAATATTAAAGAAAATTATAAAAATGCAAAGATGAAACCAATCTAATTAGGTTTAATGATATTAATAAAATAAACATATAAAAAGTTAAGAAATATGAAATTTTACTTAATTAAATTGAATAATTATTTAAATAATGTAATTTGAAAAAATCTCCATATAAATTTTAATTTAAATTGATTGTATATTCATTACTACATCATTTTTCTAATTATTTTCAAATATATTACAAATCAACAGATAAGAATTAAGACTAACAAAATTAATAGTTGAATTGATATTATTTTTGAAAAGCTATATGCATTAGAACACACTGATTTATCACTAGACGCCTTCGAAGTGTTGTCTTTCCAACATATTTGGCAATCAGTATCAGTCCATTTATCATTTCTCATGCAAGTACTTCCAACTTAAACACATTTAGTTTTATCAACAGTTGCAAAATATTAACTACCTTAACAAGATTAACAATATGAGTCAGTTAAGTTTGAAGTTGTTGCGCAACTACAATCTGAAACAGTACAGGAAGAGCCTTAACCTGACCAACTACAAGTTTAAGGTAGGAAGCATACATCAGAGCATTAACCTGTTCCGCAACTAACAGCAAACTAACCTTTTGTAGCTAGTGTAGCTTGTAAAGCTATTAAAGAGAAAATAATTAACTTAACTAACATAAGCTTTTTTCTAATAATTTAAAAATTTTTTTACTTTTCTAAATTATTATTGATTTTTTTTGAGTATTATTTGCTGTTGCATTCAAATAGAGTTAAATAGTCTACAAATTTTTTGAATGCTTTGTCAATCATCTAATTTTATTATTGCAATCTCAATAAATATTAGATTGATTCATACAACATTTTGTTTATAAGAGAATATACAATCGGAGCATTTTTAGATCAGAGGGGGTAAAAAAAATATAAATAGATATAAAAAAATATTTACCATTTTTTTGTTCATCATAGAAGTCTGGCTAAAAATTTTGATTTTACCTGTATATATAAAGGCATGCAAACCATGAAATTTTTGTATGGCATCTTTCTATAATTAGAGATATTATAAATATTCCTAAAATTATAGAGCTAAAACAGAAAAATCTACTAACAACATTATTTTTATAATATTTAAGAACATTAACTACTAGATTTTTTTCAAATATGACTAAATAAATAACTGGCCATCTCTAATTCATACTCTTTATATTTTTAAGTATATGTTTTAAATACAAATATTAAGTTTAAATAGTGAATGTTAAATTAATTTTTCTGTGATATCTCTTCATAGAACCAAATTTATAAATTAATATTTGATAATTAATTAATTATTATATTTATTTGTTCTTTTTATCTATTTATAATTAATTAAATTTCATAAATTGCTATTCAATATTTTTGAAAAAAAAATAAATGATATAATAGATTAAAAAATTTTAAAAATTAGAAGAAGTAATTATTAATTTTTTTATTAGCATCCTTTAAATTTATACAAATTAATAAAAATAGTTTTTAAGCTCTTCACTTTTATCTCATTAGGTTATCCAAATTAATCTTTGGTATATTTAATTAAAAAATATTATTTTTATTATTATTGATATTTTTTGTTTATTTAATTTTCAATTTATTTAAATAAATAATTTTTATAAAAAAAATTATCATCATTATTTATTGATTTTTGTTAAAACTAAAATTTTTTAGTTATGTTAACTTAATTTTCATTTAAATTTTAAATTAATTATTTATTATTCATTTTTCATTATTTGATATTTTTTCTTCATTTTTTGCTATTAAAACTTACACTTAATAAAAGCTATTTATTTGTTTTACATTGTAATACTTTTAATTATAAAAGGTAATTGAAAATATTATAGTTCTTTTAATTTATTTGATTTGTTTTCCTTATTCTTTTTATTATGATTTCTTATTTTTTCATTCTTTGTTAATTTTATTAATTATTAATTAATCTTATTATTTCATATTTTTCTTCATTTTTTCCTCCTAATTAACAAGAGTGAAATACCTATTTAATTTATATCTTAATAACTATATAAATAAAGTGAATTTTTAGAAAGCAAAACATATCTTTTTTTGAAAAAAATAAATTTTGAAAACCTAGAATAGAAAAAAATTCATAAAAAATATTTAAAATTTTAATTTTATAAAATGTAAAAACTGGTATATAAAACTCGCTTTTTGTAAGTTTGTATGGCAACTTACTTACTCTATTTAATGATATATTTTTTTTTCAATATTTAAATAGTGTAAATTAAATTGGTGATGAAAGTGCATCAGGCTTAGGTTCTGCTTTAGCAAATTGCATTAATCTCTCAAATTTGACACTTGACCTTCGGTAAAAACAGTTTATTTGTTTTGGATTGTGATATTTTTAATTATAAAAACTAATTAAAAACAATAAAGCTCTTTTTTCTTTTTCTTTTTATTGTGCTTGCTTTATTTTGTTCTTTATTTGTTAATTTGGCTCATCATTTTATTTTCAACTTTTGCTTTTATTATTAATTAATTAATCTTATTATTTCATATTTTTTCTTCATTTTTTCCTTCTAATTAACTATTTATTGATATATTTTTTATTCAATATTTAAAAAGTGAAAATTAAATTGGTGATGAAGGTGCATAAGGCTTAGGTTCTGGTTTAGCAAATTGCATTAATCTCTCAAATTTGACACTTGACCTTAGGTATAAACATTTTATTTGTTTTGGATTGTGATTTTTTTAATTATAAAAACTAATTAAAAACAATAAAGCTCTTTTTTCTTATTCCTTTTATTGTGCTTTTTTGTTTTTGTTCTTTCTTT